AGTTGTGTCTGACGTCTTATTCTGTTTAAGTTTATTAAGCCCACTCCACTTTCCCTAAACCACAGAGATGGAGCCTGGACATGTGGTTTCATTGATATATGGAATTCCTGGATGGGAAGCTATCAATGCCTACTAATGCACATTGGCACTTTATCAGAAACTGTTGGTGGAGCTAGGAACTGGTCCAGTTTTTCTAGAAAGCAGTTTGGAACTAAGTCCAGAAAGTTACCAAATTGTATATTCCCTTTGACCCAGTTATACTTCTATTAGGCCTATACGAGAGAAAAAGAGTGAGAGAGAGAAAGAGAAAGAGAGAGAGAGAAGAGAGAGAGAGAAGAGAGAGAGAGAGAGAGAGAGAGAGAGAGAGAGAGAGAGAGAGAGAGAGAGGATCTATGTGTTAAAAAATATTTGTATTAGCTCTTTTCATTGGCAGCATGTGGTAGTTTAAAAAAATTGGCTGGAATTTAGTGTGGGGAAATAATAACAACAACAGTAATAATGTAATAAGTCTTGAAAGATAGGCTGGAATCATATTGTGAAGGTCTTTAAAAGCTAAAGAAGAATTTGTATTTTATCCTGGAACCAATAGGGGACTACTGGACTTTTTGAACAAGGGAATGACATGTGCTTTAGGAATATCGATTTGGTGTGAAGGACTGATTGAAGAGTGAAGAGACTGGAGGCAAGGAGATCAATTAACAAATGCTTATTAAATGAATGAATGAATGAATGAATGAATTCATGCATGAGGTTAGTGCAACAGTCCAGGAGAGGTGATAAAGCATGGAATCATTGATGTGAATGGCGGGAAGGGGACAGATATGAGAAACGTTATGGAGTAGAATGTAAGTTCTTAGAGGGGAAGAATTATTTCCATATTTTAATTTGTCCCCATAGTACAAAGCACAGTGCCTGTCATTGGCACTTAATAAAAGTATGTTGATTTAATGATTGGTTGACAAGACCTGACAACAAATTGGATATGAGGGATGAAAGAGACTCAGAGATGAGATTTTTATTGTGATATTACTGAAGGCTTGTTTCCAGTTCTTTAGGGGATTCTATATGCCTGCTAACTTTCCCTCCTATTAACCCAGGAACCTTATATATGAGACACACCCACACCCACATTCCCTCCCTCCCCGACACACACTCCCACCTCTGCCAGTTGATGAATTATGGTGTCATGGTGTCATTGTCCTAGCAGTCTCAGTGTTAGGTTGGGTAATGGTAACAATGGGAGTGTGGGGTGTGGGTGATCCCTAGTGACTTTGTTGGAGACTGTGCTCCTGTTTGATGTTGGCATCTTTGTAGAAGATTAAAGGGATGGTATGATTTTTCTCGGCAGTTCTTCGCTGATGTTAGTAAACTGCTCTCCTAAGCCATTTACAGTAAAAGTAAGTAAGCACAGATAAAAAAAAACCTTCAGAGTTTTTTGAGCCAGACCCTGTAAACCTAAGAAGGAAGGGTTAACTTTGAGTGTAGATGTACTTTGCAAAGTCTTTAGTGTTAAGGAAACTCCAAAGCTCTTCTCTTTACTATAAAGTTACTTTTTATCTCAGATGCCAGAGCAGAAGGCAAAACTCTTAGCCTCTTGTCCTGAAGTCAATGACAATTCAGACCCTGTCTTCTCCTCCAGCTTTGGCAAATTTGATGGTACTAACAGTTGTTCAGCCAGCCACTTATTCTCTTCACAGATGTGAGGTGACTGTATGAGTCCACTGCCTAGCTCTTATTGCTCAAATGGGTACAGAAGTGGTGAGTTTTGTTGAGGAATTCCTCAACCCAAAGGTGCTAGGATCCTTCCAGACAGTAATTACTCCACCTTGGTGTCAGTTTGATGGTAGGTCAATAAATTAAGAGGCAAGGCTAAAAGATAAAAAGTTTAACTAACTGCAGCAGCTGATGGGCGATTGCCAGGTAGGAAGCAAAGGGAGATACATACACACACATATAAGGTTTTACACAGCCTTAGGATGACATTATGGGTGGCAAAATGAGCCAGCCTATCAGGTGAAGCTGCTCAGACACTTTCCTTATTTGGGAGGATGGATAATAAGGGACAGGATGTTAGGTGATTTGGAGGATGTTAGGTAATTGGGACAGGATGTTGCTTTGGGAGAAATATCTGTTCTCTGAGTTATGTGGTGGGTAACTGCTGGAAATATATATACACCAAAATGCATAAATTATGGAGGTTAAAACCTAGTTTTTATTATTATACTCAAGCATAGGTTCAGGCCTCAGAGAAAACCTGAACAACCATGAGGATTCTGACCAGGCTTGTTATAGACAAAATTATGTCAGAGTAACAGAGAAATAATTCATTTACACATTACAATTTTGCACGTTCCTCTTAGGTCATAAAAGTTAAAGAGGTGATAAATAATCTATACTTCCTTCAGAGTTGAACATAATAAAATAAAAGTTGAACAAATTTAGTTAAATAAAGTCGGTCATAATCTTATGCATCCCTTAAAAAAATAAACCCCAAATAAACTCAATAGGTAAACTAAGTCAGTCTAAACTATGTTTAGAGGGTTCACAAATGGATTGATTGAGGAGGAGGATTTACATGTCTCCAAGAAGTCAAAGACAGTAGAAATTCTTCCTCTGGCTTCTTGTCTAAAGAATGTTTGAAGTTCTAAGTAAAATTTCACATCCCATGGGATAGGTTTTGATCATTTGAAGTTAATATTAACTAAAATTTGCAGGATGAATGGCCCAAGTGCCACATAATAAAAGGAAATAAAAAATTCCCATAACAATGTTAACTTTAAGGAGAAAACATGTTAACCTTGAGGTTTCAGGAGATGCCAAAGATCAGGTGTTCCAGTTGGAAAACAGTTTTCTCTGAGGTTAGTCTTATCAGCATACCTTAGTGCTGGAGATCTCTAAGACAGTGGAGCCCTCCTTCTGAATAGAACCATCCTGTTGTTGAGTAAAATATAGCTCGAGGGTCTACGTGCATTTACATTGTCCTGTAGCTCTATTTCTTTGATTTCTAAGGTTACGTCCTTAAAACTCATGGTCTATCTCCTCCACAGTTTTTGGCCAGGGCATCATCTGAGGCAGCACACAGGAAAATGTCACATGCATAGTACCTCAGCTGAGTCCCTAACCTGTAGGGCTGGAGGTTAGTTATCTCTTCAGAACGAGAGGGGCACTAGGTATGACCTTTTTTCTGTTAGTGAAATTAACTTTCAGCTCTTTTGGATTTGCCTGATATCAGCCAAGAAGGGACATCTAGGCCCTGAAATGGCCAGTCAAAAGGGAACACGGAGTATGGCCCTCTTGCTTGTAGCTCTCCCCACCTCCCTTCTCCCTACTGTGGTGGTGGTGGGGGGAGAGGGGAGGCTTCCTCCGTGATAAAAGCGATTGGGCTGAGCTGAGTATAGACTTTGGATGTGACTGGTGTTGCATTCAAGTGCAACTAAGGCCTTTCCTACATTTGTAACCTACCTAAGAAGACACAGGAGGGTGCCCTATAGATATGCTAGTTAGTGAAGCTGAGTTTTCAGGGAATCAGCGTCTCAAGGCATTTGCTCAGGATCGGGTAGATGTTTAATTTCCCTGCAATTAAGCACGAGTTCTACCCCACGGATGTAGAGGCAGGACATACAACATGCCCTATGGTCATCTATGTTTTGCTGGTATTTATTAATGAAGGTATTGATTTTCAGGCAGGTGAATTCCCTACTCTCCTTCTGAGTGTCCTCCCTTCCCCTGCTTTCCTCCCCTCTCCACCCGCCCCTTTCCATTAATTTTTTGGATGGTGTCTTTGAGGAGTCTCTCTTTTCTACCAGCAACATTCCTTTGGTGTTGGTGACAACACCCTGACTCAGCTGGATGACATGAACTTGTTTTGGCCCCACTTTAGGATCAGGTCTTTTACATTTCTCATCTCTTCCAGGGTTCTTCAGTATCCTGAGGGGGTTGCAGTTTCTCTCACTTCTGCCATTGTCCAGAATCCCTAATGATTTGTATTTCCCCAATTTTAGGGGCTCAGTGACTAGCACCCCACTTCTGTTTAACCACTTAGCATTGGATTAGTTTTTGCAAAGGAGTATTTATTTCAAAGATATAGCAAGAACAAATGTATAAACATTTCCCCTTAATGCCTCTGAGGCATCCTCTCCCTAGCTGGCAAGTGGAAGGAATTAGGTTCGCAGGCTTAACTCAATTCCTTCTTTGCATTAGACTCACCAAGTTCAAATCTGAAGTCATACTTTGATTGGTGTTCCAGACCATTGCTTTTCAAGGCTTCTCTTCTGGGCTGGCTGCAACATCAGACCTGGAATCCTGGGCTCCAACATCCCCATGGCTTGAACACTCAGGTTGAGGACACCACTCCATGCACCCAGAACGGAGGACAAACAAAACAGAACAAAACTATGATCATTTCATGGTGCCAATGGCCTAACTGTAGAGGGGAAGGTGGCCCTCAGCCCCTTCTCCCCTTACTGTATGGTGTCATCTGCTGAGAGGGAATGAGTCCTTCACCTCTGTATATGAATACTCAAATGTGACTGAACTTACTCTGGTAGATTTAAAGACAAAGACAGTTCATACTATGCAGACCAAGGAAGGAGGCTGCTTCCATCTACATGGTAGGCCAACACAAGATGTTTGTCCACTTATGTACCAGTTCTCTTGTCTCCCAGAAGCAGGTCCCAAGCACCTTCACCAAAATGGGGAAAACCATTGTGAGTGCATGAAACTCTGGTAATAATGTCAATTAAATAAACTCTAAAGGCTCCCTTCTAGGCTCTAGAATAAAATATTATTTAACCTTCATCACATTTCTTTTTGATTTTCATTTTTTGGTGTATCTTATAATGAACATAATCATTATCACAGTAGTACATACACACATATGTAGCTTACAAATAAGTAATATACATATTGGGAGTATGTGTTCAAAATTTTTTTAATGATGGGGTACACTATCAAAAAAGTTCACAGGTTTTTTTTCTGTTTATTCTTCCTCTCTCCTTAAGGGGTGCTACATCAGTTGTGTACAGATGTATCCAGAAGGGGACACAGAAGCCTTATGCTCTCAAAGTGCTAAAGAAAACAGTAAGTGTATTTAAGTATATATCTGCATTTCCAAGAGACTGCAGGGACTAGAGAATTCTGAGATGGGGACTTAAAAGGATCATGGGAAAAGAAAATCTTACCCGTGAATGACCGTTTGAATATTAGTCATATTGAAAAAACAATGAAAATTTTATCTGATAGAAATTTCATGGATCTCTCAAAGAAATTTGTGGTGTTATCCTGTTTTGCCTAAAATGATGTTCATAATTTTGGGGTATAGAAAAAGCAGCTTTGTGGATGTAATGGGGGATGGGCCTATTGGAGCTCCATCCTCAGAATATGCACAATGTGTTCTGCCTGCTGGCAAAGCACATGGGGAGGCTCAGTGAGCCTGCTGCTGGAATTTCATGATGACATATAATCTACATATGCTTAGCATGCAGTAGACATAGTCTGAATGTGACATGCAGCAAAGAAATGGATTTTTAATTTAACTGTTGAACCGAAAATAGAAGTGCATACAGAATACTCTGATGGGGACAACTTGCATCCAGGAAAAAAAAAGAGACTTGAGTTATTCCCCTGGAAGTCTTTTGTATTTATGCTCTGTTCTGACTCAGTAGCCAATCGAAAAGGTCCTTTCCTTACTACAGGCCAGTGGGGCAAATAATCACAGAATATTTGTGCATGTTTCAAAATTCATGTGGGGGATTGCTTCAAGCTGAGCATGCTGCACATACTCATGAGAACTGGTCTGTCATTGGGCAGTCCCCATTACACTTAATAGTTATGATCTTGAAAAGTTGTATGTGGAATGTTGAGGCAGTCTACAGAAATAGCCCACTCCAACTAAATAATGTGATAAGATACAACACCCATACACAAATACCTGAAACAGGTGAGAAGATACCTTAATTAAAAAAAATCAACAATGTAAGATGTTAGACTAAATGCGAAGTCTTTGAAAGCCGTTGGATCTGAAAGCCACTGGAGTGATTTTGCCCAGAAGGCATGCTCTGATGGGCTGAGGAAATCTGGTCATGCCTTGATGGTCATGTATAAAATATTGAGCCAGTTCTAGAACTAAGAGATTTAACCCCAGAAATTTAAGCCAGGAGATATTGTAGTTCTGACTAAGCCCCTGAGAAGTAGTTAGTAATTGTGTGTGTGTGTGTGTGTGTGTGTGTGTGTAGGGCTAAAAGAAGAATATAGGACCTGGACCTTACCTTTGGCTTCCTTCCTTCTCCCTTTGCCAGCAGAGTACCTGGTGAACGTCACAGCACCATAGAATTAGACTTTTTCTTTTTTCTTTTAAGTTTTATTTATATTTAATGTATGGAATAAAACAAGCATTTCCATAACATGGTATAATAAAAAAGATAATTGCACACGAAACTGCGAATCTACTATGTACAACTTGCTATTCCTTTTAAATATACAACAAAGTTATTATGCAAATTTGTTTTTACATTTTCTTCCCTTCCCCCCCCACCCTAGAGATGGCTACCATTAGACACATATAGGTATATATATATATATATATATATATATATATATATATATATATATATATATATATATATATATATGTAAAATTGTTCTACACATACTTCTATTTATCATTTCTTTCTCTGGGTACAGATAATGTCTTTCTTCATATGGCCCTTATAATTAATTTGGGAATATGTAATAGTCAAAATAGCTTATTTGTTCAAAGTCATTCTTAAAACAATATTGCTGTTACTGTATACAATGTTCTCTTGGTCCTGCTCATTTCACTCTTCATTATTTTGTGCAAGTCTTTCCATGTTTTTCTAAGATCATCAAGCTCATCATTTTTTTCTTTCCTTTTTTTTTTTGGTGAGACAATTGGGGTTAAGTGACTTCCCCAGAGTCATACAGCTAGTGAGTGTTTTGTATCTGAGGCCAGATTTGAACTTAGGTCTTCCTGATTCCACAATGGGTACTCTATCCACTGCACCACCTAGCTGCCCCCTCATCATTTCTTATAGCACAGTAGGATTCCATCACAATTGTATACCACAACTTGTTCAGCCATTCCCCAACTGATGAGCATCCCTGCAATTTCCAGTTCTTTGCCACCACAAAGAGACCTACTATATACATTTTAGAACATATAGGTTCTTTCCTTTTTCCCCTAATCATCTTTGGACATAGTCCTGGAAGTAGTAGACTTTTTCATTAGCATCCTACTCCTAGCAGTGCTTCCAGAACAGCTGATACAGTGTCTGCGCTGGGAGCCAAGAATAGATGCAACTTGATATGAGAAATTAGTCTAAAGACTCTATAAGGAAGCAGTAGTAGCAGAGACAAGTCAGGATATCAAAGTGGAGGAAATAGCATAGCTTAGTTCTCTCAATAACTACTCCAAAAAATGGTTGGACTACCTGAAAGCTAAGGCAAAAAAAAAATAATCTAGACATATTTCAGTGAAAGAGAACTGCCCACATCTATTAGAAATGAGGGATAAGGGATAGATAGAGTTAGGAGAGAGGCAAAATGAAAATAGAATACAGCAGTCATCCTCTGAAAAAACAAAAATCCTAAAATGAAAACTCCCAGCAACATCATAACCAAAATCCAGAGCTTTTAGGTCAAAGAAAAAACACTTCAAGCTGCCAGAAAGAAAATGTTCAAGAATTGAGGAACCATACTCAGGCTCACACAAAATTTAGCAGCTACCACTTTAAAGAGGAGAAAAGCAAGGATTATAGTATTGCAAAAGGCAAAGACATAGGCTCATAATCAAGAATAACTTACCCAGAAAAAGTGAGTATAATCCTTTAGGGGAAAAATAGGCCTTCTTCAATAAGACTTTCAAGCATTCCTAATAGAAGAGAGAGTTATTGCTATTCAGTCATTCAGTCGTGTACTACTCTTCATGACCCCATGGACTACACAATGCCAGGCCCTTCTATCCTCTATTATTTCCTGAAGTCTGCCCAAGTTCACGTTCGTTGCTTCCATGATGCTATCTATCCATCTTACCCTCTGCTGTCCCCTTCTCCGTTTGCCTTCAATCTTTCTCAACATCATGATTTTTTCCAAGGTCTCCCATCTTCTCATTATGTGGCCAAAGTATTTAATTAAGCTTCAGCTTCAGTATTTGACCTTCTAATGAATCATCTGAATTAATTTATTTAAGTATAAGTTGACTGATGTGATCTCCTTGGAAGGACTCTCAAAAACCTTATTCAGCACCACAATTCAGAAGCATACCTTCTGTGATGTTCAGTTTCGTTATAGTTCAGCCCTTAATGGCCATACGTGACTACTAGAAAAACTATAGCTTTGACTATACAAACTTTTGTTGTTAAGGCGATGCCTCTGTTTTTTAGCATGCTGTCCAGATTTTCCATAGTTTTCCTTTCAAGGAGCAAGCATCTTTTAATTTCATGGCTGAAGTCACTAACTGCAGTGATCTTTCAGCCCAAGAATACAAAATCTGACACTGCTTCCATTTTTTTTCTCCCTCTGCCAGGAGGTGATGGGACCAATTGTCATGATCTTAATTTTTTTTTATATTAAGCTTAAGGACAGCTTTTATATTGTCTTCTTTCACTCTCATCAAGAAGCTTCTTAATTCTTCACTTTCTGCCATAGGAGTGGTATTACCTGCATATCTGAGATTGTTATTTCTCCCTGCAGCCTTAATTCCAGCTTTTAATTCATCCAGCCTGGAATTTTGCATGATATATTCTGCATATAAGTTGAATAAATTAGATGACAATATATAGCCTTGTTGTACTTCTTTTCAAATGTTAAACCAATCAATTGTTCCATGTTCAGTTCTAACTGTTGCTTCTCGACCCTCCTTCACCCACCTCCTGCCATGCAGGTTCCTCAGGAGACACTGCCATCTCTTTGAGGACTTGCTACATTTTGTTGTGATCCACACAGTCAAAGACTTTATTGTAGACAATGAAGCAGACGGTAATTTTTTCCCTGAAACTCCCTTGCTTTCTCCATAACTCGGCAAATGTTGGCAATTTGGCCTGTAATTCCTCTGCCTCTTCAAAGAACAGCTGGCTCTTCTGGTAATTCTTGGTTCACATATTGCAGAATCCTAACATGCAGAATCTTAAGCATAACCTTGCTAATGTGTGAAATGATCATAATTGTTTGGTAATTTGAACATTCCTTGATGTTGCCCTTCTTTAGGATCAGGATACAAACTGATCTTTTCCAATCCAATGACCATGGTTGAGTTTTCCAAATTTGCTGGCATTTTGAGTGCTGCACTTTAACAGCGCCATCTTTTAGGATTTTAAATAGCTCAGCTAGAATTCCATCACTTCCATTGGCTTTATTGCTAGCAATGTTTCCTAAGGCCCACTAGACTTCATTTTCCAGGATATCTGGCTCTAGATCAGTAACCACACCTTCATGGTTATTGGTGATATCAAAATCTTTCTTGTATAGTTCTTCTGTATATTCTTGCCACCTCTTTTTAATCTTTTCTACTTCTGTTAAGTCCCTACCAGTTTTATCTTTTATCATGCCATTTTTTTTTTGCATAAAGCATTGCCTTGATATATCTAATTTTACTGAAGAGCTCCCTTGTCTTTACAATTCTTTGGTTTTCTTCTATTTGTTTGCATTGCTCATTTAAGGAAAGCTTCTTATCTCTCCTTGCTATTTTCTGCAATTCTACATTCAGTTCAGTATATCTTTCCCTTTTGCTTTCCTTCTTTCCTCAGATATTTGTAAAGCCTCATCAAATAGTTTTTTGCTTTCTTGCTCTTCTTTTTCTTTAGATATATTTTGTTGTTTCCCGTACAATATTGCACATCTCTGTCCATAGTTCTTTAGGTACTTAAATCTAATCTCTTAAATCTATTCATCACTTCCACTTCACATTTATAAGGGATGTTACTTAGGTCATAACTATATGGCCTGATGGTTTTCTTCAATTTAATTCTAAATTTTGCAGTAAGAAGCTCATGATCTGATCCACACTCACCTCCGGGTCTTATTTTTATTTATTTATTTATTTTTAGGATAGGCAATGGGGTTAA